TTTCGAAAATATTTGATTAGGTATGTATTTAATAGGTAGGCTTTAATTACTTAACCGAAGTCGGTTTTTATTTTTTTGTTAAAAAGTTTTTATTTTTCCCTTTTTAGTGTAGACAGTAGTTGCAAAGTAATAATTCTAACGTGTTAGGCTTGTCGAATCAAACAAAATAAGCCCAAACTCAAAGTATCTACTATTAGCCGTTGAAGAGTTCCACCTATCCAACTTCTGACCTTACCATCAGATCAGGTCAACAATACCGAACCACTGTACTATCAACGGAAATAGAAACACTTGCAAAGTTTCAAGTTAATATGACAATTAGAAGTAGGTTAAATCCATCATTAGCTATTTTTCCACCCTTAGGAGTGGAATTTTTTTTGAAATTTAAATGGGACCAATCTGGAAGTATACCCTTTCAAACAAAACAAAAATTGTCCGAATCGGTTAATAAATGACGGAGTTCTGAGGTAACAAACATAAAAAAAAATGCAGTTGAATTGAGAACCTCCTCCTTTTTGAAGTCGGTTGAAAATATACTTGGCTAGCTACATATAGCTTCTTTGCCCACAGGGACACAAATAGGAAGGTAACACATATTTCTAACTTAAAGTATTTTTTTTAAATCATCTGTATTTTTAATGTTTATTCTAATACAACTTTATTCAACTAACTAAAACTTATTTAGAATCGTTTAACTTTATTTAGAATCGTTGTAATTTGAAACTTAATGAAACGGAAATGCGACACCAAAATGAGACAAACACATAAATATCGGCCGTATCCGGCCATAGCCGGCGAGAAAATGAGATAGAATACATTGCCATGTTGCCACGGTAACCATTGTTGTTGTCTATAAATATATGATTGTAATATGGTTAATATGCATAATTTAATTATTTGACATAGAATAAATGACGCAGGAAGTGAAAAATAATGAAATTAATTACTGAATAATATGTAATATATATTTATGTCAAATATAATGTAAAATAACTTTGAAACTTGGTTAAAATATTATAAGAAAAACCTACTCTTGATACTCTATATTTATCTCATTCTCTCGTAGGTTACTTTTCTGAAGTTTCACTTCTACCTTGTGTGAATTGCACGCACACGCTTTTTTTATTTAGGTATATAGGTTATTATAAAATTAAGTAATATCTAAAAGAAATAACTTCAAATAAGCGAGAAATCTTAACATTGACATTGTACTTTATTTGCCTTATCCATTTCAAAATACAAAATTCATCCACCTATAAGTCATAACCATACCACAACACAAACAAAATTGTAGGCACATACGTAAAAGAATAATTATTGTAGCAGAGCCCTTTCTGTTTCTAGCGTAAGCAGACTCGATCAAGGAATATACTGAGGAAATACTACCCTCTCTTTCATCCCCTTAATCTTAAGGGCTATGAAGTGGTGTCTTTGGTGTTACAAGAGGCTCAAGCAACGATCACTTTCCTCCCACCAGGCTATGTGTATACTTGTTTACGACCTTTTTAATAGAACAAATAAAAAAATATATATTAATTTGCAAATTAATTAAATCGTACTTTCCGACATATATTTGGTTGTATTGTATTCGTTCAATTACTTAAGCTATAAAGTAAAATAATACCTGGTGCACTTTATAAAGTAAGATAAACCAGAAATTAGAATGTAGGTCAAAATTAAGCTCATCGTGAACGATTTGATTCTAACATTTCATTATAATAAAGTAAATTTACACAACCAAAAGAAATATTTTGCCTCTATTTTAAAACTGTTGCCTCTGCATAGCGTCCGGAAGTAGCTTTATGCAACAGACTAATATCCCACGGGAAACACTTGGTAACGGGAAAAAGTAAGCCGTTCCGTTGTCAGTCGTTGTGTAAAGTAAGAAAGACAAAGGAATAAATAAAATCCATTGGCTATTATTTTATTTAAATATACACATGTATACTATACTAAATAATATGTAGTAGGTACTACTATTTTATTTCTTTGCGAAATTGCGTGGATCCTTTGCCCCATTGCTACGAGAAAACTAACCACACTTGTTATATTAAGGGCATAAATCAATAGTATGTAAGTAATAGAGTTAATGTGCTTGCTTGGATAAAGTACGGAAAGAATGATGCTGACTTTTTGCCTTGGCAAAAACATACAGAAATTTTAAATGGCTTTAGTAATAGAATATGATCCCACATAGAAACATCGTCAAAACACTTGTTCACGAATATCTTTAACTAAAAGATAATAAGGGTCCTTTAATGATATTAGATTAAACATACTTAATGTATATATAAATAATTGTATTTTTTCCTTACTATCAGAAGCACTCTCATCATTTAAATAGGTGGACGTGTTATAAGGCGCAAGTGCGAGGCGACGTTCTAACCTACGTCGCGTCGTATAGTTAAACTACGAGTATGTGTATAACGTTGAAAATGTATCTCGAAATGTAAGATACATCGCGATAATTATAAAAGAAGATATTTATGAGGAGTTTGGCTTACGTTAAGAAAATGTGTTACTATAAAGAATTATAACTGATATATAAAATTATTAAAAGCAGGCATAACCGAATGAAACGTCTCATTATGTATAATTGTACATTATTACATATATCGCTCTATTATAATATGTAGGTAACGTTAGATAATCATAATTATACACTTGGACGCAAACATTAGGCTTATATAGCTTGATTTTTTTTGGTATTAAATTAATTGTTATACAATACTTTATATGAATAAATAATAATTATATAAATAAATAATAATTATATAAATAAATAATTATTATATAAACATTTATATAATATATTTTTTCACCCTATAAGCTATAGCTATTCGGAAAATTTTTTTAGTTTGATTTTTCTTATATTTGTCCTGAGTGATCAATTTAATATTGATTACATTAAGGTAAGATCTTTTGACATTATACAGTCAATAAATATTATAATGCTAGAGTTTCTATAGTAACTTTAAGATTAAGGACAGTTTGAAAACAGTTATGATTTTTTTTTATAAATACTTTCGAGTGAACATTCATATTCTTAGACCTGTCTTCGCTAAAAAAAAATACAATGACATTCCTTCTTATGGAAATCCAAACTTGTCGAATATTGGCACATTCGCAACGCAAATGTCACTTTGAAATCTTTTCGACTTCGAGCTTCGCAAGACGTGTTCGTTTTTGTAAACACCTCGGTACGAATTCTGCATTGAGGATGAACCTAAAAAGCTGCCCGTATTCGCGTACGAGTACATATAATATCATCTATATCATATCGATTATATTATATAAGAAACTTTCAATAAATCCATTTAAATTAAAAGTAAAACGAATCCAGCATGAACAGAATCCATATACTTGTAACTACATTTTTTAAGTATAACAAATAGACTACGGTTCTCTTTACTAAGCTCTACCTTTCCCTTCTGAGGGAATTAAGCCTTTCCCGTAGCTCTCCGCTTGTATGAAGTAAATGTTTTATTATAAATAATTGACTACCAGCTTTCACTCCTTTTAGCGTGAAAATAAATAGAAATAAAATTTTAATGAAGTCGAAGCTTAATTCACTTGTAGTCGAGAATATTTAATGAAAACTTTCATTTGCGATCCTTACAGCTGTAGAAGTTAAAGATAGATTAATACTGCATGTGTAGAATAGCCATGAAATACATCTATGTATTAAATGTGTAAAAAAAAATGGAACTTACGAAATTTGCTTGCAGTTTATCTAATCTAATTTTTATATGTCTAAATAAAGTTTTTTTTTATTTTAAATAGCTAGGCGAGCGAAATATGAAAAGTTTTTTAATATTTTTATTTACTTGTGGCTTATATCGCATGGCCTATGCAAATATAGCCTGTGTCATTCTGAAGTCCATAAATTATCTCTATGGAAATAATGACGCAATATATTTCTGTTGCTGCGTAAAAAAGGACAAAAAAACTAAAATCAGATCACGCAGCTTAAAACTTCTCCCATACAACATATTTTTGGATAACAAACATCCATATTTCAACTAAGAACATTAAAGTCACCCAATGTCTGCTTTATTGTTATTTAATTCTAACACTTTATAACAAATATAAAATAAATTTCGTATACGGACAAAGTTGTTATTTGCTAAATTGTGTTACGATGTAAATTTTTGTTTTAGCAACAGAATTTGAATGAAAGTCGCAAATATACGTATATTAATCGTAACCTATATTTTATATCTTCTACAAACACAATAGATTTTTTTTTGCTTTTAACTAAATCAAAGTACTTTTAACAAGGAGCCTCAATTCCAGGAATAAGACTTTATATAAAGAGCACGGTAATAGAAGCCTTCCTTGGCTGTTGTTGAAGCTTATTATTAGAGTTTAGTATTATAATCATTATTGAGTATTTAAGATAATTTAAGGCGTAGATTATAACCTGGGAAATGAAGGGAAAGCGAAAAATTTGCCGATATATCCGAAGAAAACATTAATTTCGTTTTTCATGTTCCTTTCATGTTTCTTTAACGCTGAGAAAACAGACTGTTTCACAATTTTATCGTAATAATTTCCAATGTAATAAATGAATGAATTTAAATAATAAAGTTAATATTAATGAAAATGATGTGAATTGTGAAAAAAAAGCAATATTATTTTACATCTCTTTTTTCCTTCTTTTGCGAAAATTTTTAAACAAAATACAACGCCCGTTCTGAAGGTAAAAAAAAATTACCAAATTATTTTGAAAATCGTAAAAGCAGGAATATGTGTGGGACACACATACATATTGATGCTCGCATGCCGACTAAACAAGCAAGGTTCTTAATATATGAAAATTATTAAGTTTATTCAACAATTAAAATTGCCGTTATTCTGAAAAATGAAAAAAAAATCTTGCTACCTTACTAACCTAAACCTTGAGAATAAACAATAACTTCTACTGAAACAAATAATTCATCATGTACGTCCTGTATAGACTGACAGTTCTAAATGCGCTGCCCGTGAAATAAAAATTAAAGGGCTTCGACGAGGAACTGCGTCATCAGTGCATATTGTATCGCCACAAGTATCAGTTGACCAAGGCAATGCTGAAATGCATACGTCCCTGAATTTTATTGGACAATAAAAAATACAAATATCAAAAAATTTGATATTATTATACAAATGCAGTCGAATTTAAAATCACGTGTGTGTTTGAATAGAGCTAATTTTTGGGAATAAATTTTTGTACTATTTGGAGAAACGTTACGTAACGTACACCCTTAGAACTGTTTAATTTATAATAGTGGTTGGTAACCATCGATAACTTGAAGGTCGTTAACACGTTATCAGATCAAGCATTTGGCTCACGGGTTGCATTTTCAAGCTTTCTTTCTTGAGGTTGGGTCGGCTTGGCACCGCGGTGCATCGCCGCGTTGCAGGCGCCTCTCGCCACTCGCCATGCTTCCTCGGCCACGCGCGTCCGCCACCTGATGTGATCCCGCGACACACGCGCGGCCCTCGCCTCCACACCACCGGACCACCGCACCATCGCGCTGGACCACCGTACCCGGCCAACACAAGCCAGTTTCGGCAGTCATGTAAATTTTTATTCATATATTAATTGATGTATTTATACAATTAATAATATTTTGATACTTTTATATTTGCTATTTAAAGACGAACCATAGATAGTACTAATGTTATAAAAATAGAACTTTTTAAGTTCAATTTAAGCTTTCCTATTTTTTTGTAGTGGGTATGAATATTTTAAGAAAACTATGCAACTTTTCCCACATCTTCTACAGATCTACTTTTTCTAAGAGAAATGAGAAAAGTCTATTATAATTTATAATTAATGAGAAATTAGTGTTAAGGGTAAGGAAAGCGAATGTTTTGCCCGGAGGGTCGCGGTTTCAAGGATTGCGTGCAACGACGTGCAGAAGCGTGCGACGGAAGACGAGCGGCTAGCGGCGGGCGGCGGCTCACGGGGGGCGGCCCGTTCCGCGGTGCAGTGGTTGGCACGCGGTGTCGATACGCGTGCGGCAGCGGGCGCGCCGGCCGCCCGCGGGGGGCGGGCGGCGCTGGTCGCAGAGGGGAGGCGGAGACGCGGGGGGACGCACGCGCGCCGCAACACGCCAGTCCACCGCCGTCGCGTACTGGTATCACACGCGTTCGCTTGAGCCTCGCGACACGCGGCTCTGTACGACGACGATGACTCGTAGTACTCGGTGAGGCGCCGCCAAACGCGCCCCTTGCCCGTTACGTAAGAAATCCGCCCGGCGATAGCTACGAGTACATATCGACCACGCTTTATCATATCCCATAAATAATAGTCACGGGCGGACCACGAGTACGGGCGCGAGTAAGCAGAGCGCGCAGGTGACGAGCCGCGCGGGCGTGCCGCAGCCGCAGTCAGGGCGATGCGCCCGCCGCGCCGCGCGCTCTGAGCCCATTATGCGAGGCGGCGCGGGCGCGCGGGGGGGCGGCCCGCGGGCGTAGTGACGCGCGGACACGGCATGGCGCACGAGTGAGGCGGCGGCGGCCGCGGGCCACCAGCCGGCCTATCAGCCGCCTATCCGCTGCCTCATCGTACCCGCTACGACCCGATGACACATTGACGTTGAGCAGCCACCATTGCTCGCATAGAGTTGGTCGAGAAATGGGGGCTGACGCCTGTCCTCAGGCCGAGGCAGGAATGCCCCCGCGCCCAGGAGCAAAGCGAAGACCAAAGGTATGTAATGAATCATAAGAACTAGTCGTAAAGCTGGATCTGTGACGGCGACGACGTTCGGGGCTGCGTCAGGATGTCGGTTGCGTCACGTCAACCGCTCTTCCTATCTCGCGAGTCGCGGCACAAGAAGTGCGAGGTGCGACCGATGCACGCGTTTCATTTTTCGCTGGGTGACAAATGTATATAGACTTTGTTATGGAATATTTCGACATGTGTTGGTGAGTGAGCCGCGTGGCGGCCGCTACTAACAACACTAACAACTTCTGATACCGGACTCCGGTAAGTGTCACCTCCAGTCTTCGTTTCGAGTCGACCTATATTCCGTTGTTTCAGCGTTTCGGCATTATACTCTCGCGTGCGGTAAGGGTCGCATCAACTCAGCGAGCCACACAGTTCTGCCATAGCACCGGTATTGAGGACGCTCGCGTCGCAGTTCTAATTTACCTTGCTTTTGTCCGCTATTCTCTCTTGTTTATCTCTGGAACATTACTGGAGGTTTTGTTTTAACTGTTTGAGTGCTTATTCTGTTGCGGACCAGACTTCTTTGTAAAGTACATTGTCATAGTGAAAGGCATTGTCTACTTTTTTATATTATCTTTTCTTCGAAAATGATGAGGACATCTAACAAGTAGTAATGTATGCTTGATATACGTGGGCGTGATTACAATCGATTTAATTCGAACATCGAAAATTACAATTTACAAATATTTGTATAGAAGTATAATGATAATAAGATTATTATGAGAGCATTATTCGTATCGTTCATGTCGTGCTCACTATTTTTTACAAAATTTTAAATTAATTTCGGTTACGCAGCCTATCGACAGACTTAAAGTAAGGTACTTTAATAATAAAATTCTTTGGAGGAGTTATACAGTATTATGACATGTAAGTGTAACGTATTTCGGTTTTTATCAATAATAATCATTTCTCATCTCTAATGTTAATCCCATTACTTACGTGCGCATATTTTTATTTTATTTTATGATTAATTTAACAACTTCTCGTGGATTTAATAGCGCTATATATGTATGTAGTCATTAAAACAGTTAAGAATTCCTGAGAGAAATGATCATTTGGACATAAAATGAAAGTTTGATGAAATTGATATTTTATGAAATAATAAATATCCAATATATTTAATTTACTATTAAAATACACTAGCCTTAAAATTAACAGAAAGTAGGTATATACTCAATTAAAATAGACATCGTTCAGAGCATATTGCAGATGTTATATAATTTGGCAACGGTAACTTTTAAAAATCTATATCGGCAGTAGGTTCAAATAACATATGTATATAAAATTTATACAATGATTTTAAGCAATTAGCATATCAATTTAAATATATATTTGCGTGGTACTAAATTATCTACTAAAAAAAGAATTCTTGATTTTCAAAAGGCCTGCAGATTCTCGCATTCAATTTTAATTATCTATCAAAAACAACATGATTTCAGATTGAAAGGCTCGAGTCCTTTAATAATAGAATATAGTACTCCAATTATCATGCACTGATTATAGTGATTATGATCGCAATCACAACTTACCAGAGCCTCCTACTACAAACACCCATCAATGCCCACTAACGTTCCATTTCATTGCCTGCATGCGTTTGGAGCTGATAGCTAATGCTATTGCAGCCGAAATAATACGATAAAATGTTTCACTGCTATTATCTAAAAAGTTTCTTTAAATCTTGCCATTCGAACTTTTTTAGTAGAACTCGTCGTTATTGTTTTAACTCTACTAAACTTAGTATGTGAATGTGTTTTAACAAAAAGCTTTTTTAATGGTTACAAAAAGAAAGTCTGAAAGTCCATTAATTAATGAGGCCTTCAAACAACTTTTTCTACCTTAATATCCGCTCACCTGAAAGTAGCAAAGTTGTTTTATTATTTTTTATGATGTTCTTAAAAATTTAATCCTGACAAGAGAGATAACGGTACGATCACTAAATTATTTTCAATATCACAGCAAAATCTAAATTAAATTAACTCAGTATCTTTGAGTTATTAGCCATCTATAACATTTGGTTTTACATCATATATGTATGTAGTTACACACTTTAAAGTTCACGACTAAAGTCTCGTGTACATACTTAACATTCAAGAAGGCTTATGCTTCAAAGTCAATAGGCAGTGCCTATTAGGCACTAGGATTTTTCATATGTGACCGAGGATCAGTAAAATTTAGTAGGTATATACTTACTATAGAAATGTCATATGTACATAATTTTATTTAAATAATACTAAAATATTTTTATTTAAATAAGGGATATTATAGTTTTTTTTTTAAATTAATGAGAATTTTATCAAAGCACTCTGAAAATAATAAACAAGTATTTTCCAATTTTATAATGTGCTCAAAGATATATTAAAATAAATATAATATAATACTCGTGTAATGTTCCAAAATAAACTAAATTCAGGCTAAATATACCTATAGATTTCAATTGATTTACTATACAAACTCCACCTCTGAACCTTCTTAATCCAAGATTTTTTCTAATCTATATTTTTGGAAAAAAAATAGTGTTTCAAAAATATATCTTAAAAGAAATCAGGATAAAATTTGAAATAAACGTAAATCTATTACTGTATTGATACAAAGAACTTAAATAACGATCTAACAAAATAACCACAGGTGAAAAACAATGATTGGTTCCATAGGTTCCATACTCCAGAAGTAACCTCATCCAAAATATTGCGTTTTAAAACACCTCTAGTATTAAAGTATGTCTGAAGTCATTTTGTCTAGTGTAATTAATACATCTCATATAACTGATATCTGAGATAATACAATTTAAACAAAAATCTCCATATTTTGGAATTTTTATTGCATGTATGTACGAACTTAGTACGTACAAAAAATCCTAGTAGAAGTTTTAGAAGAATTTATATACTGAAGGAAATACAAGTAAAGCGACCCTGCGAGTGTCGTATTGACGGAACAAAACTATAGGCGCACTTTTTGGTAGGGCTTAAAACTCATTTAGCTGTTTCAAAAATGTCTCTACGTGCTATTTTTATTATCATAATTTTTGACATACACTTCAAAATAACCATGTCTTATAGTTACGGAAAAAAAATAATCTTAGTGTAACAACCATTTGAAACCCTTCATTTATCTAACAACTTCGATTAATCAACTTACGATTACGCCTCCACGTCCAACGCTATGTCCACCATTTTTGTTTCATTTATTACGTAAATCCATCCTTCAAGATTCACCATACTTGTAAAGAATGACTATGAATTTAATGCGACTATCTTCTGGTCTATTATTCTTTAATAAATTAATGTATTCCAAAAATTGCCAGAAAGAATAAAATATTTACTGAAATTAACAGAAAGTTCTTACTCTTAGTATTAGGTATAGACTATATCTAATAAACATTATGCTGGTAGCAGATGAAAGCTGGCTCGAACATTTCACCTTTTCATGGTGGCATAACCTTGACTTTATCCATCAAATTAGGCATTCTCTTTAAAGCTGCATACCATAACCTTCAACTGTCAAAAATTGAAAGATAGGCCCTATATTTGGTTGAACTGACACATCCGTGATGCGCGATACAGGCTTTCATATTTCATAGCATGTTATTCCAAACATTTCATATAATATAGTATATTATATTATTCATATAAATATATAATACCTATGCGGACTTTTGTTGTAGGTCACTTCTAAGCAGGTAAAGGTCACAGTGGATGAGCTTACATGCTAACTAGCTGCTATTTTGACATCCGAGTGCATAATGAACTGCCTAGTTTCCTGAATGTTAATGCCATCTCATGCGACATATCTGTATTCTATGAATATTCAATTTTATAATTTAATCCCTCCAACCCTCTTTACTTTTTGGGTATTCAAAATGTAAAGTTTTATAACCGTTTTCATAATCAAATTAATCATGAAATAAAGGAGAATATTATAAGATAATATATTCAATAGTTGCAACATACAACTAAATACTACTATTTCAGTAATAATTACAGTTCATTTGAACTCCTTATAATTAAATATTTAAGTGTAAAATTAAATTAGAAAATATGTTTTATATTGGAGTTCAAAAGAAAATAAGACAGGGAACATGTAACCATGTTTACTTTCGTATTTTTTTTGCATATCACTCAGATATTATGTCAGAAAATTATGAAATAATTAAACATTTTCAATTTTTCCTTGACCCATTTCGGCGGTTCACCAAAATCGCCGCATCAGACCGTCATCACGAGCGCTTAATCAGTTGTAATTAATTGGACACCGCAACTGCATTACTTCGAAACAGTAAATACAAATAGATTATTGAACCGTGCTCGGCGTGAAGCGGCTCAATGCCATTACTAATTGAGAGATTTAAATAATTAATTGCGTATATTTTAACATTCATAAAAACAACCTTTCATTCATCGTAGCTTAAATTTAATATGAAGATGAGGACCTACTATTACTTATTAAGCTATCTCAAGGCTCAATATTATATAATATACAGTAATAATGGCCAAAACGCTTTACGCTGCTGTCAAAGACAAAAATATTTTTACCGTATATTCCTGAAAGAAAGAGGATCTAATCCATATTGTTCTCTAAGTAGTGAGCTATCTATCCTTCTAACTGCAGAAATCTAGATAATATTTCAACTAATTGCAACGAGTATATAGCTGCCAATACCAAACGCTTGCTGATATTCTTTTAGTAGGTTACTAATTTTTACATAATAAACACATTGTCATTATGTAGGTATAACAGTTAAAAAGTTATAAATCAGTAGTCGAAATGTTAATAATTCCTAAGAGATTTTTCTAACAATAAAATCGCTTTGACAATTTAGCTGAGTAAGGGCCTGTCCGCACTGCGATATTTCACCGCGCGATTTTTATTCTCGCGTATTATATTCCGTGATCGAAATTGTACTTATTACGCACTGCGAATAAAATTTCGTACGATTTTTGTCAGTTTGATGCAGTTCCCGACTGAGACAAACGTCTAAAATG